GGTAAATAGCTTACTATCTTCTACTATTATTCTTGCCTTCACTGCTTTGTTGTAGCAAAAAAAAAAAAAAAAACTTTAATCTTTGTTTCTTTCCCTGTAAACAATGTGTTGAAATAATTGATATGGCAATCCAATTCCACAACAAAATAAAAACAAAAATAACAAGTCCAAACTCAAAGATCCTCGGGCAGAAAGAAATGTTAAAATCACTAATCGCAGGTCAAATGTCACAAATCCCAACACATGTAAATGGTCAGAAATCAGCACATAAGCCAACAGATGAGACAGAAAAAATAAAAACAACTTTTTTTAAAATTTGAGAACACCAACCACTTTTATGAACAAAACAGTTTTTTCATTGGTTGACAAGTGGGAGAGGACACACAATATTAGCATATCTGAGATGCATTTATGGCAACACCTGTGACTGATATATTTTGATTATTTTCTCTTCAGCATATCATACAGAACACACATGCCTTTTTTCTCAGTAAATAACTTTCTATTTTACCACACTTGTGAAGGTTAATTTTACCAAGTCATCCTTCCTCATTATGTGTCCAAGAAATTTTACTTTGATTCTTAGTATAAGTTGTTTTTGTGATTAGTTTCTTTCATACATATTTTTGCTTACTTGCTTTATCAATTGAATTATCAGTATCCTTCTGTAGAGCCACATTTCTGTTTCCATTATTTTTCTCTATATCTGTAGAGATATTGCCAAACATTCACTACTATATATCTTGATTGATATCACATAAAATCTACCACTGTTTTCTTTGTTTCTAATTAAATTTTCCTGTTTCTTATTACTTTGCTTAGCTTTTAGAAGGCATTTTTGCTATGCAAATATACCTTCAGATTTTGGCATTACATTTTCCATCCTCTGTTAAAACACTTCCCAGATATTTAAACTTCCATACTTGCTTCATTTTGACATCTTAAATCCGTAACTCTCATCTCGGAAATTTTCTCTTTCTGATGACTATACTTTCTGTTGTCTTGCAGTTAACAGTTAGTCTTTTCTTCTCACTGTCTTTTACCACTGTCTAGGAAGTACTATAGTTTTCTTTCCACGTTAAACATCAACTCAGTGTCATCTTTCAGCTGACAAATTCCAGATTTTATGCCAACTGCATATACAGGTAATAATTGAAAAATGTTTCCTGTATCAATTGTTAGCATTATTCTTTGTGTGCATGTGCATTTTTAAATTAACTACTTGTTTCTACTGATTGTTAACCTACTTGAAAAAACAGGATAAGTGGGATTTACTTTTCAAGAACAGACTTATTCTAGTGATATTTTTGTTTCACATAACTTTGTCTTTCCTTGTTATTATTTTATTAAGATGTTCTATGCTGCCTTTCAGGGTTGTCTAATTAGGCTACAAGTAAACTGGGGGCTGCAGGTGAAAGCTGAGTATTACATTTTAAATTGACTTCAGAGCCCAAGTTAGTACAGCTTATCGTTTTTTTTTATTTTTTAAAAAGTAACTCAAAAAGTTACACATAGTGAAATTCAAAATTTAGTAGTAATGGATTTTTAAAAGTAGCCAAATCTAGTAACACTTCTTTGGAGGAGTAAAGAAATACATGAAACTACTCTAGTAAAAATTGAGGGGTTTCTTTATACCATTATTGCAGAACAACAGTTAGCCCACTATTACAATAGACACTCTTACAATCTACTTGTTTTTTAATCAAATATTGATGATCTCCAAGGTTGACTACCTTGCGATATAATTAGTGAATTGGTCTACATTTGAAAACCTCCATTGATATCAAATTTTTAATTAACTTTCTTCTCATTAATAGTACAATATATTTTAAAATGTTGCCTTCAAATCAAAAGTAGAAAAATTCAAAGTTAAGTAGCATTGGGCTTTCAATGATATAAAAAATCTAACCACCCAATCTACATGTTTATTAGAGTCGACAAATATATGGAATCTTTATTGTAAAACAAAACTAAACCCTGCCTCTATTTAATAACCTCTTAATCGAATACTGAATACCTACAAGCAGGGTTGATAGACTACAAGTAGCAAATTCAGCTAGATTTGAAAATGATCAAAACTATTCCATTTTGAATTGACTTTCTTCTCATTCATTGTCCAACGTAGCACAACTTATTTTAAAAAGTAGCATAGAAAGTCAATCAAAGCAAAAACAACAATTAGTAGCATTGATTTTTCAAACAGATAACCAATTCTACAATCTAGTCAATGTGTTTCTTAGAGTAGAGAAATATATGCAATTTCTTTTTTCATTTTTTTCTTTTTTTTTTTTTATTTGAATACTGATGACCTACAAGCAGGGTTGACAGACTGGTCTAAAAGTAATGAGCTGTGTTATATTTGAGTCTCCAATGCTACTAAACTTTGAATCAAGTTCCTTCTCATCCAAGTTATCCCAGTTTATTTTTTAAAATAACCAAAAAGTTGCATGTAGTAAAATTTTAAATTTGTTATCACAAAACTTTCAAAAGTTGTACAATCTGATGACCATCTTACTCATTTCAAATTTCAATTGTAAGGAGAAAATTCACTTAGCTTTTTTCCAAGAATTACTACACCTTGATTCTGTTTCAATCTTAACCTATCTATATGAAAAGGCTAGTTATTATCTATCCTTACTTCCTACTTCTATATTCATATCACACACCTCATTCAGTTTTCCTCTACAAATTAAGAAAAATAAACTTAATCTTTCATTCTCCTTCATGCAATTAAATTTACTTACAAAAAAAGGGGTTTTCCTTAAAAAATATTTTCTATTCTGACAGTTCGATAGACTTCAAATTGTCTCAAATCATCACTATTTTGGATCTTTTTTCAGTATATTTCTAAATACCAGTGATCCAATATATCTGGATTGCAATGTCCCACACTTTGTTGATGTTAATGCCTAATCATTTCATACTATATAGACTGACATAAAAATTTAGAAGCCTCTGAGTAGTTAGGATGTATTTTCTGCAATTTACTATAAACATTTTATGAGATTATCAAGAATTTTTTCTTATTATTATTTCAGATCTATAAATCTAACTAGTAGTAACCGACCTATTGTATACTGAACTAATTTCTCATATATTTGTGAAATCTGTTCACAAAATGTATCTAATAAGCAAATAAATGTACAGATAATGTGTGAATGTAGGATTGTTATTTATATTGTCATTTTGAAATGCAAATTGTTATTGTGATACAACCCACTTTACACAGGACTAACAGTGATGCAGATCTTCATGAAAAAGGTTGCTCACCCCTGTACTATAAAATGCACTGAACCAATATGTCCATTGATAAATGGAATCTCTTATTTTATTCACATAGGTTACTGTATCATATTTACAATAACTCACCAGAAAGTATACAAACTTATGCCATAAACAAAAGAAAAAGTTATTTTTGTACTTAAGCTAACTACAAACTGCTGAATTGTGACAAGAAGTCAGAGGTCATTGAATCATATATTATTATGCCTGTATTGGTGAAATAGGATAATAGTGCATGTTCGTTAAAGTCACTGGAACAAGGAATGCAATATTTATGTTGAGAATGATATCAGAAAGAGCATTACAAATACAGAAAGAGGTGTACTGATGTTTTATAGATTATGCAAAAGCATTTAATAAAGTATGTCACAAAGAACTGTTGAAACTGCTAGGTAACCTTGACATATTTGGAAGGACATTAGAATAACCCAGAACCCAGGACCTATACTGTTAGCAATCTGCCTGCATATGGATAGAAAATGAGTTCAGTAAATAGAAAGGAGTGTAAGACTAGGATGTGTATTCTTACCACACTTATTTAACCTATACAGTGAAATGATTCTGAAAGAATTAGAATTCTTACCAGGATTCATTATCAGCAGCCATAATCTTAACAATATAAGATATACAGATGGCAGTGTTGATAGCAGGCATAGAAAGGAAACCAGAAGAACTCCTACAGTGAAGGAAAGCAAGAAGAAAGGACTAAATATCAATTGCAAGTAGACAGAATGTATTGTTCACAAAAGGAACAGCACAACATACAAATTGGAGATACCAAAATGAAACAAGTATAACAATTTAAATATCTTTGAAGGATTTTAACAGATGATGGAAAGTGTGATACTGAAAGCTGAAAGCATATTGAGATAGTGGAAGATGGTTTAATATCCATCCTCCTATATGGCAGTGAATGCTGGACAATCTCCTAGAAACAAAGAAATGAGTCTTGAACTGTTATGTAATATCAGTCCTCTTATATGGCAGTGAATGCTGGACAATCTCCCCATAGATGAAGAAGAGACTTGAATCAACGAAATTGTGGTTCTATAGAAGGATGCTGAGAATACCATGGACTGAACATGTAAGCAATTACAAAGTTTTAGAGAAAATAGAAATAAAAAGGACCCTTATATTTAACATCAGTAAGTGATAGTTGAAATTCCTAGGGCACATAATATAGGAAGTGGGCTTGGTAAATTTGATACTCACAGGGACAGATTGAAGGCAAGAGGGAAAGAGGACAACAATGTATAATCTAATTGGCAAGCTTAAGTGAATGGATGGCAGAGCAGTGTTTGGGGGAGATAGAAAAAAGACAAAAATTTATTAGAGCTACAAAGGATAGGAAATCGTAGAGAACCATGATCGCCTACATTCTGAAGGAACACAGCACATAGAAGAACATAATAGTAAATCAATAAATATCTATTCAATCACTTGGTTATTAAATGAATTTTGATCTGAAATTATTACTGTATAATGTACAGTGGATTCTGGTTAAATTTTGTAATAACTAACTATACTAGTAAAGAATAAAATAATTTTGTCCATTTTATGCAAATTCATTCAAATGAAATGACCACTTGTAGGAACTAAAATTCATGGTCCCAGTGTGTGTTTTGCTTAAGTGGAATCCACTGTACCAATATAACATTTCTACTGTTTTCTCATAAAACCATAATTTTGTTTTCTTTATTTTCTTAATCTAATTTCAGAACCTCATTCTGGGTTTAGGATTGCATTTAACATGTTTGATGCAGATGGTAATCAAATTGTTGACAAAAAAGAATTTTTAGTGGTAAGTTCATGCTTTGCTTTTCCTTTATATTACTATATTATTAATCATTTCATTTTTTTTTTTTACAGAAATTTCTAATTTTCTACATTCTACTTCATTCTTCTCTTTCTCTTTAACAATAATGATGATTCATTTTATATATATATATATATATATATATATATATATATATATATAGCACTTAATCTCAACAGGTACACAAAAGTTCTTCTTTATTTTCATTCCAAACATGGATGTATAAGGAATTGTTACTTAAAGGATTAAACATTAATTGTAAGACAGCCAAAATGTATGGTTGTCAGCAAAAGGAACCACCCATGATGCAAGCTACAAATTGGGAATGGCAACATCAACCAAGTACAGAAATTTATCTGGATAATATTTTAACAGACGACAGAAAATGTGACTCTGTAATCTGAAAACATATTGGAATAGTGAACGATGCCTTCTAAAAGCTAAGCAAAGTATTAGTGTTGAATTTATATGTAAGATTAATCCTCTTCTGTGGCAGTGAATGATTGATAATTTCCATAACATTGAGGTAACAAATGTGGTTCTTGAGAAAAATGCTAAGAATACCTTGGACACTGCATGAGAGCAATGAGGAAATCTCAAGAAAAATAGAAGCAAAAAGGATACTTATACTTAGAATCATAAAGAGACTGTTGAAATTCTTGGAGCAAAGGAAAGAGCACTTGGAGAACGCAACACTTACAGTACTCAGAGACTGAGAAAGACAGTAAGAGGACAAATATTAATAAGAGTTTCAAAGGAAAGGAAATTGTGGAGAGCCATGATTGTCAACATATAGCATATAAATGAAGAAGTTGAAGATAGTAAACTGCCAGAAGCAATAAAAAAACAATAATTTGAACATTGAAATGGGATTCAGTTCCTGAAAACATTGACCCTCACCAAATGTTAGGTTCCCTTCTTTTGAGGCACTGTCATACTGAGCAATGAATCAAGTGTGGAAATATGATGTGAAAAGGTGAGATATGCTGTTAACCTTTCAGGTTAAATTGTATGCCATTCAAAGTTCATATTAGAGGACACACACATACAAGTATATATGGTACAGAACACATAAAAATGTATGTATAATAGCAATAAGATTTTATAAAGCCAGAAACACTATCAGTCAGTAGAAGTCTGAAAGAAAGACATTTAAGGCAAACAGTCTTTGCAATGAAATGTTCGATATCAGAAATTTAATAGAATTGATACAAGCAGTGACAAATTCATCCTATAAAATATGTATGTATATATAATATATAAAATAGCAATACATCTAAAAAGATGGATATACAGTATATATATATATATATATATATATATATATATATATATATTAAGAAATGGACAAGGTCCGACAATTTATTTATTAAAGACATTGTTTTTATATTTAACGTTGTTATTTATAGATACAAGTATTTAAGCAAATGCTCTGTTTATGATAAACAGTATTAAATAACATTTACCGGCCTGAATGTCCAACCTCTTTACAAAGAACGCCACGTTATGACAGGTTCAGATAGGATGCAGGTTCTGGATCCGTCAAAGAACGAATATTTTCTATGAAAATTTCTCGGACATTCAGGCTGGTAAATGTTATTTAATACTGTTTATCATAAACAGAGCATTTGCTTAAATACTTGTATCTATAAATAACACCGTTAAACATAAAAATGTCTTTAATAAATAAATTGTCGGACCTTGTCCATTTCTTAATATATGACGTCATTTGTTTACATTTGATACGCCAGAGCAGTTATGAATGTACGAGATTCATGGAAGATTGGAGTTTATAAGCAGTAAATTCGACCTTGTCTACCGAACGGTTCTTTGTGGCCGAGAGGTTAGGCACGTCAGCATATATGACGGTTCCGTATAGGATGCAGGTTCGAATCCTGTCAAAGAACAAATATTTTCTATGAAAATTTCTCGAACATTCAGGCCGGTAAATGTTATTTAATACTGTTTATCATAAACAGAGCATTTGCTTAAATACTTGTATCTATAAATAACAACGTTAAACATAAAAATGTCTTTAATAAATATATATATATATATATATATATATATATATATATTTCAATCTCTCTTCCTCAACAGAAAAATAAAATATAAATATTAAAACTCATTCATACAAAGATGTGATAGACAAATATACATATCAGACTAATTTTAGATAAACAAATAACAAATTGGGAAGAATTTATTGGCATGTTTCATTCCAAGAAGGGATGTCTTCAGACTAATAATGGTTTTATTGCTGGAGTCAGTCTTATATGACTAAATAAGTAACAATTATGTTGCTTTATTTTCATTAGTCAAGTCGTAAAGTTACAATGTCTCTGGGTACTTTTTTTTTAATTGATCCAATCTTTTATATCGAATCATGAAATAAAAGTAATCCTGAACAACTACTCTTCAAGCTCCTTTCATAATAATGCAGATGTCACCCAGGTATCCATCCTTGGTCCTACTTTGTTTTTGTTTTTTTATTAATGACCCTCCCAATGAAATCAGCTCTCTACTTGGTATCTACACTAATGTCTCAATAGTCAGTCTGACCAGTTTGATAAAGTCAAAATGCTGGCTGATATTTAAAATGACCTACAGTCTGTTGTTAATTGGGGCAATGGATGGCTTGTTAATTTTAATGCTTCCAAAACTAAACTGCTCTCTATTAATCATCTGAGGGAATCCTCTCTGCTTTACAGCTTTACATTAGCTGATGCTAACGGCCAGGAAAGTGACTCATTGCACCTTCTTAGGCTAACATTCTCAGTTGACATGAAGTGGAAAGACTATACTGAATCTATTGCTAGGTCAGCTGCTAATAAAACTAGTTCACTGTGCTGTGTGAAACAATTTTTCTTTCCAGAATCTATCTTACATATCTATAACTCTACCATCCATCCATGCTTAGAATATTGCTGCCACATATGATCCGGTGACCTTGCTATTTATCTGGAGCTCCTTGTAAAATCTAAAGAAGAATCAGCTATATTATTCGTCCTGATCTGGCAGCTCAGCTTCAGTCACTTTCCCACTGCTGTAAAGTTGCCTCTCTGTGCCTTTTTTTATAAATACTTTCATGGTAATTGTTTGCATAAGCTGTTCAATATGGTGTCTAGACTCTTTGAATTAAACAGGCAACAATTTACAGTTGAGCTGGCAAGATGTAACCATAATTCTTCTAGATCCATGTTTTCCAGCCAACTTTAATCTGTAAATATTTGATTGCAATATCAATAGCTATCGGCTGTCCTCCTGTTTACTCTTCCTCTGTTTTTGCTTAGCAATGTTCCTGTTTCTAACTATTCCACACCCAGTAACCCCTTGCATCTCAGTGACTTTACTATCTTCTTAAGGGTGAAATCAATTAAAAAAAATGTGGTCATGTGTTAATTTTTTGACATTATTATTTTTTTAATTATTGCACCCCAAGCAAGGTGGTAAAGCCACTAAGACACAAAGGGTTCCTGGGTGTAAAAGAAGCAAAGAAGGCAATAAAAGACCAGGATTCAAGGAGACAATTAATGTTACATTTAAATTTTTGAAGATTGTAGTCAACAGGAAAGCAAAAAACGAGGTGAGAATTCCAACTGTGAGAAGGGCAAGAAATTATTAAAATAGAACTTACAGTTACATCTAGCAATTTCAACAGTACAATGATGTGGCCTAACTGCCAATCTAGTATTATGTTTAAATTCATGAAATCAAGATACCAAAGAGGAAAACAAATAGTATATATCAATTTTGTAGTGTGGGTGACCTGTGTTTACTGGATGACATCTGTGTGTGCTTAATTATTGAAATGGTAGCATAATTTAAGTATGTATTAAAAATGTCTGTTTCTTGATTTCATTATAAATATGAAGAATGTTGGAAGAGAATGTGTAATATCAAGGCCATAGCAGCTAGGGGGAGGAGGATTTGTATGTAGCTCCCCCCCACCCAAAAAAAAAAATTTTACCAATTGTACTGTTTTTTGCAGGGTTTTATTTTAACAAAATACAATAAAGAAAGAAATGAAAAAGAAAGGAAAAACTATCAAAGCAAGGTGGTACTGGAAATTTTAAATGTTCTTTCTGCTAACCATGTTGGTGGCCTTTGATAAATTCATAATTTTTTTTGCACTCCCTCCCCACCACCAAAAATATTTGTCTCTGCTGAATATTAGGTTGCATCATCTGTAAATTTTCTCATCTTACATTCTTTAAGCAAAGGTTTTATGAATATTGGTGGTATGAAAAATTGCATTTGATATGTATTTATTAAGTATTAATTGTTTATTAATATTAATTGTTTATTAATATTAATTGTTTATTAATATTACCTCTAGGTTTTTTCTCCAAAGTAGGTTGTATTTATTTATTTTATTTTTTTTTTTTACTAAGGTAACATTTTTTAAATCAAAGTTATGGCTGTTTTATTTTTATGTTTTACTAAGTAGTTTAATATTTTATCTCAACAGAGATCTCTTGTCTTCATAAATGTGTATTTTCAGTTTTCTAGACATCTCACCTATATATTTCTTATGGCATTGTATGCATTAGTTTTATATATACCAACTTCTGATACATTGCTGATTCTATGTTCTTTGCTAACCAACTCTTTGACACTCTTAAAGGTAGGGGTTATAATTTTATTGCCTGATATACTTAAATGTTTTTCAAGTTCAGTGAACAAATGGTTTGTTGGTGGAATTACAAACTTACTAGTACTTACTTTTTTAATTTTATGTACTTTGTATGTGTTTTTTCACTCATGTTTAGAATGAAATGATGAGGGGTAGTGAAAGAGTTTAAAAGTTTTTTTTCAATGTTCTTATCATTTTTTATCTAGGTATTCTAGGCTACATATTCTGAAAGCTCAAGATAGAAAACTATAGTTAAACATGCATAGATGCCATGCAGTAAATATGGGATACCCACAAAAAATTTATATATACATATATATCCAAATGCTATAGGAGAAAGGAATTCCCC